CGATCCGTTTTGAGTCAGGACTACAAACCACTGTAACTTTCTTTGGCATTGATATTTTTAAGTCTGATTTGATCCATTTGGAAGCTCTTTAGATTCTCTATTTTTGAGCTATAGATCATATCAATCCGGCAGATTTGCAGCAAGTTCGAAGCGTTTATAGTGCGACAGTTCATCACTTTTGTAGTTTATAGTGCCCTGCACATAATCCACAGTGCTCTTGAGCGATTTGCTCTTCCAGCGCTCCATTCAACAACGTATTTTGAATGTGTTTGAACGCTTTGCCAGTTTATAAGCTAATCTCTAGGCAGCAGCAAGGTGCTCCTCGGTAGTATAGTGGTTAGTATCCGCGTCTGTCACATGCGAGACCCGGGTTCAATTCCCGGCCGGGGAGAAACATTTTTGCTTTTAAGAACTTTGAAAAGTGTTGAATTAAATTAGATAAGCTGATCTTAGCCTATCAAATTTCAGCAGAAACACCATAAAGAAAGCTATAGAATTTTTGAAAATAGAAAACAAAGCTATACAAAGCAAAGCAAAGCAAAAAACAAAGCATTCCTAAAATCCGGAAATCCCGGATAACCGACAAAGGCTTCAGTTTAGCGAATAAGATTCTCATTTTTTTCAAAAATTCAATTTTAATTCAATTCTAAAATTTCCCATTTGTGAAAAGTTGTTTTTGAATGAATGCTTTTTTTGAATAAAGAAAAGGTGTGACGAAAACGAACAAAAGGAAAGCAGGGAAATTTCATTTTCATTCAAAAATTTCCACAAAGAATGCTAAGAAAAAGTGAATGGATTAGAGGAAATTTGGAACAGAAATATCGATAAAAATTGAGTGAAATTTGCGAGTAAAATGAAAATTTCCAAAATCTTTTGCTCAAAAGAAGTTAGCGAAAGTTTTATTGCTAAATTTCCTCCCGAAAAATCGATGAAACGAACCCGAATACCTTTTGTAAAAGAGAAAAAAAACGTTCAGATCTTGGAAAGATTGAAAGAAAAGATTAAAATTTACAAAAAAGGAAAAGAAAATCAAATTTTACTTAAAGAAACATTTCGATTGAATGTACTTTGTGCTTTTTGTAAACACATCCCTTCAGTGCACTGACATCTTCAATTTTTTTGAGGTTTTGAGAAAAATGAAGAATTCAATGCACTAGAAGGGGAAGAGAGTACAAAGAGAGTACAAAGAGAGTACAAAGGGCGCACAAAGGGCGCACAAAGGGCGCACAAAGGGCGCACAAAGGGCGCACAAAGGGCGCACAAAGGGCGCACAAAGGGAGCACAAAGGGCGCACAAAGGGCGCACAAAGGGCGCACAAAGAGCCCAAAGTACATCCAATCTTTGCCGGTGTTTAGTTTTTGAAAATTTTGAAATCAAAAGAAACGATAAGCTGTCAAAAGCACTTCAAATCCTTTCTCTGGAAAGACTTCAAAAGTTTTTTGGCTTTTCAAAACGAAAAAAAACGGATGATTTGTGAGGGAATGGATTTGGAAAAGGAAAGAAAATGAAAGAAATGAGATGAAAAGGAAAGAAAAGGAAAGGAAAGGAAAGAAATGAAAAGAAATGAAAAGAAAAGAAATAAAAAGAAACAAGTTCTAGAAGATAAGTGCTTTGGTAAAGCTTTTGAATATGAAAATATGGAAAATGAAAAAAATTTGGGAAGAACTTGAGAAGCTCGAGACATTGTGCTCTCTTGGCACACTTGTTACGTATTTTCAAGGATCAAAATGAAAACCTCAGTGTGCTAGAATGTGTGTGTTTCTCATTAACCCAAAAATGATATCTTAAGTATGCCAGAGGGTGGGCGTTTGCGGACTCAAAGTACTTATAGATTTGAAACAAAGGTATTAAATAAATCTCATAGTTTGCACATGAATTTTTATTGCTTTGAAAAACTGAACTTGAAAGGAAATCATGAATGAATTTTTGAATGGAAATGGCCATGACCATGAATGGGAAAAAGGGGAATTGAGTGAGTAAATCACAGAGAAGAATGGGGGAAAAAGAATGGGTAATTGAATGGACAAGGCAATGTGGATGGATGCGAAGATTGACACAAACTTCAGAGTACATCATGAAATTAATCGTAACTTCTTAAAGCTTTAGATATCCAATCAAAACATTAAATCTATGTCGATTCTTCTTTCTTTTCCACTCTTTATGCTCCTCTCCGTTTTCCCATTTGTTTTTCTTTTGTTCATTTCCTTTTTTTTCCACCACCTGTCCACTCAATAACACCAAGACCAAGGACCAATCCTTTTGTCTTTTCCATCATTGATCCCACAATTGCGAGAGTGCCTTCTTTAATAATGAAAAGAAGAAATCTAACTCTGATTGTAATAAAGTAAAGAAATTAATGGCAAAGAAATAAATGGAATTTGGAACCGACGGAGATTGAACCCTTCAATTAAACCAAAATCGTTGTAACAAATCAAAAGTTAGTGCAAACTCGATTGAAAAAAATCGTTATATCGAGAGTCGACTTAAGGTATTTTGTTAAGCACTTGGCCGGGGCCGCAAGTATAAGTCGAGTATTGAGCAAATCGTTATATCAAGTCGTTATATCAAGCAGCGCTATATCAAGCAAGTCGACTGTATTTACAAAGACGTTTTCGATGCTAAAATAGTCATTTACTCATTGTCGGCTATCCAATAGCTCGTATTTTTGGTTAAAAATGAAACTTTATTAAAATAGAGTTTGTAATTTTTGTAACAAAAAAATAGAGTAAAAGAAAAAGCCAACAAAATGTTTCGGAGCGTTTTAAAATGGCTTCTTGTACTCATCGAGAATTCGAATCAATTTCTGGAAGTAAAAAGAAATTTCTTTAATCCATAACTTTAACTCACGTTAACTCTTGTATCGTATTTGTGTAAAGTGAGGCATGCAATCTTCAGAAAATGATTCGAAATCCGTATTAAACTTTCTGATGAGAAAAATTACAAAGAACCTATTCAAAAACCAACCTGCATCTTTTGTGTTTCATTTGCAATTCTTCAAAAGTACTAGCCTCCCGTAGTTTTTTTCCTTTGCGAGCAACTTCTAAAAGCAAAATTTTTTTTTTGATCTGTCTTCGCACTTAGGTGTTCCTCTTTGCGCAGATCACAATCTGCTTCCATATTTCTCTATTCCTTGCTATTGTCATCCAGTGTCTCCTATCTTGGTTGTTCCTGATTCGAAGTCTTCCACTTGCTTGTGCTGGCGGTGGTTGCAGTGCTAGCCATCCTTTCTCTGACCGTTTCTGCCACTCTTGTGCTCCACCTCGTTGCTGGTCTTCCGGTGGGCCTCTTCTGGTCTCATGGTAGCCACTCTGTGATCCGTATCGTCCATCTGTCGTCTGTTCTTCTGGCTACGTGGCCGACCCCTCTGAGTCTTTTTCTCACGATCACTTCCACTGGATCTCTGAGTCCCGAGAGCTGCGCATATACGTACTTCTTAGGTCTCGGTCGAGCTGCATCTTCCTATTGTGCCCGAGGAGGTTCCTTTCAAGGGCTCGATGCGTCGTTCTCAGGGTTCGTTCGGTGGTCTGTGTCGTGGCCCAGGTCTCTGTCCCGTAGCAGAGTGCCGGAAGGACGGTGCTGTCGAAGAGGTGTGCCCGAGTCCTCTGGTGATTCTTGAGTATCTTTGTGACCTCTTTGATGCTTCCTAGTGCTGTCAAAGCACTAGTTTCAATTTTACCTCCTTTTGTAAAAGACTCATCGCTTTATGAGGGTAATTTTCCCCAATTGTACATGTGCCACACAAAGCTAAACTTTACTTATTGGTAAAGATGCACAAAAGCAAACCTTCAAATTAAAGCTCCTCCAGTAAAACGTTTGGTTGACAGTATCCTAGAATATGCATTCTTCTTTATCCTTTTAAGCGTCGCTAACCAATTTTCTCGCATTCATCACAAAAACCATATCCAGATTCTTTCATTTCTTCCAATTGATTTGTCATTTCGAACAATTCGTTGAGAAAATCTAAAAGTAAGTACTATGTACTATGTACAGTATAATTGTTCCGTTTCGAACGTAACATAAACACTAAATACTATGATAAATACATTTTAAAGGATTTTTGTACCGTGAAATTGATTATTCCATATATCAGCAAGTGATATTATATAAGTTAGGCATTAAGCAGCGAGTTGGGCAAGTGATTATTCTCTTTCTGATTTAAACCCCGTCTTCTGGTCGCATTCCGTGCATATCATCTGGTTGCAAGCAAGAACCAACGAGTTCTTTAGCTCGATCTGATTTACATCTAAATCCAACAAATCCATACCAAAAGCTTTTTAAAACTTACACTTTTCCTGACAAATTACGCACTCAGGCTTTTGCATAACTAAATAAAATTTGTCATAAAAATTCTAGCAACCAAACAACCTTTATGAGCAAATATCCACCCAAAATCGGAGAAAGCGTCAAAGAATTTTGTGATAACACACCTAAACTAAAACTACGAAATCGTTTTGAACTACACAACTTACCAATTGTGTTGGAAAAGCAGTCCTTTCTGTTGCATTGGTGTTTTATCTTTTCTTTCTTCAGGTGTTTCTCTTTCACAAAGCATTCATGGTACATCGCTAAACCGCACAATAAAAGTCGTGATGATTGAGGCTGTCTTGCAACCGGTACAACTAAAGGAAACCTTAGAAATTCTTATATTCTTAACAAAAACCTAGGTAGCTGTTGCAGTAACAAAAGACCTTGAATTTTTAAAGGAAAAGCTGAGACTTACACAGTTTCTTGCAGAGGATGTAATTCAACGACTTGAATACCCTCATTTCTAAACAAACTGTCGCCCATATAAAAGATTTAGTTAATATTATAAAATCAATTTCAAAGGTATCAACTAAACCAGCTACAATCGATGCTAAATCATAAAACAAACAATTATAGCAACTTTATTGACCTTATAGCAAATTTGCAAAGTGTAAATATCGTATGACAAAATTAAATCATAACATCAAAATGAAAAAGGTTAGATGTAAAAGGGAATGTAAACAAGATATGGGTTAATTCGGATCATCATCGAGAGTTTTCATCAATTCCTAAGGTCAAAATAAAATTAGCAAAACAAATTCAACTCACCTTGACTCTTTTTTCGTATTTGCGTACGTGGGGCATGTATTCTTCGGAGCACTTCTCGAAATCCGTCTTCAGTTCTCTGTAGAAAAAAAATTGGAAAAAGAGAAAAACTGAAAGTTGCTTACGTGCACTTTTTATGTTTCTCTCTTAAATCTTCAAAGGTCGACGCATTTGTGAGATCTCTTTTCTTTTTCAACAGCTTCTAAAGAAAAATTTAAATGGATTAACAAACCTGATCATTAGCAAAAATTACTTGATCAAATCCTTGAAGGCCATCAGACAATTCCTTGTGAAGCCCAGAAAATAATTGATTGTACGTTTGAACCTCACTGATTGAAAGATCGCAAAGCTCGTGAGACATTAAACCCGCCTAAAAAAAATATGAATTTTTTAAAAAACAAAAACTCTGCTGACTGTGATTTTACCTCTTTTTGCAGAAGTGTGATTGCCTTGTGTGAACGATGATTCTTGTAGGTACAGTTACCACATAGCTCAAATTGTGCAAATAAATTGTATATTAACCAGCACAAACCTGCAACAAGCACTTCTTACAATGATGCATTTCGTCAACAATATCCTAAAACAACTTTTTCATTGGGTCAATGAAAATATACAGACCAATTTCTTGCATTCGTCACAAAAACGATATCCAGATTTATCCATTTCTTCTAGTTGACGAGTCATTTCAGGCAATTCGCATAAGAAATCTAAAAATGGCCAAGTTATAAAATACGTTCTTCGTACCATTTAACCGATTTGCCCAAGCATTAGCACCCGTTGAAACGAAGGGCTTGTCACAAATTGGACAAGTAACTTTGTATTTCCAAGTTTCTTTCGTCGCAGCATCGTTATTTGCCTGCAGAATACTTAGATGGCATTCTTGACAGATGATGTGATTACAATATAACCAAAACGATTTCTTGTTATCGACTTTGTCCGAATCTAAAAATATCTTCTCTAGTATCTGCAAAGCTTCACTATTGCTCTGAGTTTACTTGTTATACATCTACTTTTCCAATAAACCAAACACATCACCTACATTCATCTTGACAAATTGGACATTCAGGTCGAAATGGCTAAACATTAAAAAAAATATAAACGATAACAGACCAACCTTCTGAAGTAAATATCCACCCAAAATTGGCGACAGCACTAATGAATCTTGTGACATCAAATCTAAACTTAAGATATCATTTCTGGTCTAAAAACCCACCAATTAGATAAAAGGCAAAATTGGTATTGAGGAAGCATTGATCCGCATTATAAACGCATTGATGTTTTCTTTCGTCTTTCCCCAACGATTTCTCTTTTTCAAAGCATTCATGGCACATCGTTAATCCACATAATAGATGTCGTGGAGATCGAGGCTGATTTGCAATCGGCACAACTAAAGGATCACAAATGATAGCAAGTAGAGCGTGTTCTTCGCAAGTAATGCGTTTTCTAAAATGCACCTATTTGAAAAAAAAATGTCGTAGTTAAACCGTGAGTTGGCATCTAATCATTCTGATTTTGGTATCATTCAAGGAGCCTTGTGATTCCTCATCGAAAGATACCAAAATCGGGCCGATCGGATGTAAACTAACGGTTTGACTACATAGTTTCAGAAGGACGCATTACTAGTGAGAAACACACTCTAATAGCAAGCACCAGCTACTCAACAAAAATTAATCTCTTATCGTCTTAATGAATTTTCTAAATGGCCAAAGACTTACACGGTTTCTTGCAGAGGACGCAGTTTAACGACTCGAATACTCTCATTTCTAAACAAACTGTCGTCCATACAAAAGATTTAGTTAATATTATAAAATCAATTTCAAAGGTATCAACTAAACCAGCTACAATCGATGCTAAATCGTAAAACAAACAATTATAGCAACTTTATTGACCTTATAACAAATTTGCAAAGTGTAAATATCATATACCAAAATCACAAACTAACAAAATTAGATCATAACATAAAAAGTAACAAGGTTAGATGCAAAAGAGAATGTATCGTTCAAGAAATCTAGATAAACAAATAATTAAATTTGACAATATTTGGTTGATAAACCTTGCAACCAATTTTCCCGACGATTTTCTCCACTTGTCCACTCCATTCCACTGATTGTGTTACAAGTCGGACAAGCAACTGTGTATGCCCACTTGGCCCGTGTCGCGATATCGTTATTTTGCTCCAACCTTTTCTGATGACATTCAGTGCATACAATGTGCATACAATGAAAAAAAAGCTTTCTTAGAAGCGTCTTTGTTCGAATCTAAAATTCGCCAAAATCATCATAATTGAAGTTCACAACCACCTACAATCATAATCAAAACTTACATTCATCGTGACACATTGGGCATTCAGGATTGACCAATGGCTAAACTTTTTTTGGAAAAAAAACCAACAATAACAGGCTAACCTTCATAAGCAAATATCCGCCCAAAATCGGCGAAAGAGTGAAGCAATCCTGTAATAGCACATCTAAAAGAAAGAAATCAGCCTTCGTAATCGGTTATTAGAGATCAAAAATTCTTACCAATCACACAGTAAGCAAAGTTGGGATTGTAGAAGCATGTTTCACCCCAATCGCATTTATGTTCTCTCTCCTCTTGCTTCAACGACTTTTCCTTCTCGAAACATTCATGACAAATCGCCGATCCACAATGCAAAAGTCGTGGAGATCGAGGCTGTCTTGCAATCGGCACACCTACAAAAGTTTGATTTTATAAACCTTTAAATGCCGTAATGCTGGCCAATTTAAAAGTTACACGGTTCCTTGCAGAGAATGCAGTTGAGCGATTCGAATATCTTGATATCCCTCAGTAACTTAATTTCTAAAGACAAAAATATGGTCAAGAGAGCAAAGTAAAGAAAGAATAACACAAAAAGTAAAACGGGCACTAAATGGTACTCCCAAAACTTCAGAAAAGTCGAGAAATAGCAGACTCACCGAATTTAGAAATTAAAAGATATTTAGGCATCGACGGGAAAATCCACAGGGTGGGCCACAATTATGACAACCAGTTTTTGGAAAACTATTCTTTTCCAAAAAACTCTATACAGAAAGTAGCAAGTATTATATATCATTTGAAAGCTCTAATTCTCAGAATCATTAATACATTAAAGATTTCCTGGCCAGAGCTAATTTTTGACCCTTACTGGCCTTCGGAATGAGCTTGCCGTGTACCCCACGGCGATCTGCCATTTTTCGTGATTTGAATGTAAGGAGGGTTTCGAAAAGGATTGTTTTCAGCTGACTAATCCTTTTTTCAATTTTTTCGATTCAAAATAAAGGCAAACGTTAACCGAGCATGTGCAATTTCATTGTTAAAACGGGCTCAAAACTTGCTGCAAACTACCATTTTGCGACGAGTAGTGAAATTCGCGTTTTTCGGGATGTCTGGTTCTGCTGATTGACGCACTTTTGGTTTGTTATTTTGATTTTAAAGTATTGAATGGAATTAATTTTGATAAAATTGATCGTATTTCCTGTTTTTCTCGGTCAAATTTTTACTTAAAAAACCACGAAAAATGGCAGATGGCCGTGAAGTACCGGCGGCAAGCTCATTCCGAAGGCCAGTAAGGATCTTTTTCTGGCATAATTTAACCCACTCCCAATCGGTTAACGTTTGCCTTTATTTTGAACAAGCGTCCGAAACTGAACGAAGTTTCTTTTCGTATTTATCCAAAATTAGTTTTTGTTCAATGGACAAGTACTATGTACTATGTACAGCATAATTGCTCCGTTTCGAACGTAACATAAACACTAAATACTATGATAAATACATTTTCAGGATTTTTGTACCGTGAAATTGATTATTTCATATATCAGCAAGTGATATTATATAAGTTAGGCATTAGGCAGCGAGTTGGGCAAGTGCTTATTCTCCTTTTGATTTAAACCCCGTGTCTTCTGGTAGCATTCCATGCATATCATCTGTTTGCAAGCAAGAACCAACGAGTTCTTCAGCTCGACCTGATTTACATCTAAAACTAACAAATCAATACCAAAAGCTTTTTAAGACTTACACTTTTCATGACAAATTACGCACTCAGGCTTTTGAATAACTAAATAAAATTTTTCATAAAAATTCTAGTAACCAAACAACCTTTATGAGTAACGCAAAATCGGAGAAAGCGTCAAAGAATCTTGTGATAACACACCCAAACTAAAACTATGAAATCGTTTTGAACTACACAACTTACCAGTTGGAAAGTATGCAAAACTTGTGTTGGAAAAGCAGTCCTTTCTGTTGCATTGGTGTTTTCTCTTTTCTTTCTTAAGCTGTTTCTCTTTCACAAATCATTCATGGTACATCGCTAAACCGCACAATAAAAGTCGTGATGATTGAGGCTTAGAAACCGGTACAATTAAAGGAAACCTTAGAAACTTTTATATTCTTAACAAAAACCTAGGTAACTGTTGCAGTAACAAAAGACCTTGAATTTTTAAAGGAAAAGCTGAGACTTACACGACTGTTTGCAGAGGATGCAGTTCAACGACTTGAATAGCCCTAATTTCTAAACAAAATGTCGTATACACAAAAAACTTATCAACTAAGGTATCAACTAAGGTATCAACTAAACCAGCTACAACCAATGCTAAATCATAAAACAATTATAGCAACTTTATTGGCCTTATAACAAATTTGTAAAGTGTAAATATCGTATAACAAAATTAAATCATAACATAAATATGAAAAAGGTTAGATGCAAAAGGTAAGATGTAAAAAAGATATTGTAAACATGTAAACTTGTAAACAAGATAAGGCTTAATTCGGATCATCATCGAGAGTTTTCATCAATTCCTAAGTTCAAAATAAAATTAGCAAAACAAGTTCAACTCACTTTGACTCGCTTGTCGTAATTGAGTAAGTCGAGCATGCTTCTGAGCACGTCTCGAAATCCGTCTTCATCCTTGAAGGCCATCAGACAATTCCTTGTGAAGCTCAGAAAATAATTGGTTGTAAATTTGAACCTGATTGATTGAAAGATTGCAAAGCTTGCGAGACATTTGACCCGCCTAAATAACATAAATTTGAAACAAAAACTCTGCTGACTGTGCTCTTACGTCTTTTTGCAGAAGTGTGATCGCCTTGTGGATGCAATTTTTCCTGTGAGTGCAAGTGTCGCAGAGCTAAAATTGATCAAAATGATAAATCTATTAGGAAACCTTCAGCTCGCATTTTTTGCAATGAAACATTTTGTCGACGATATCCCCTAAGCACACTATCAAGAAATGCAAACAAAGTCTACCAATCCCTCGCATTCATCACAAAAACGATATCCCGATTCATTCATTCATTCATTCATGTCTGCTTCTGCTGATTGAGGCACTTTTGGTTTGTTATTTTGGTTTTAAAGTATTGAATTGAATTAATTTTGATAAAATTTGACAAATTTGATCGTATTTCCTGTTTTTCTCGGTCAAATTTTTACTTAGAAAACCACGAAAAATGGCAGATGGCCGTGAGGTACCTGCGGCAAGCTCATTCCGAAGGCCAGTAAGGATCTTTTTCTGGCATGATTTAACCCACTCCCAATCGGTTAACGTTTGCCTTTATTTTGAATCGAAAAAATTGAAAAAAGGATTAGTCAGCTGAAAACAATCCTTTTCGAAACCCTCCTTACATTCAAATCACGAAAAATGGCAGATCGCCGTGGGGTACACGGCAAGCTCATTCCGAAGGCCAGTAAGGGTCAAAAATTAGCTCTGGCCAGGAAATCTTTAATGTATTAATGATTCTGAGAATTAGAGCTTTCAAATGATATATAATACTTGCTACTTTCTGTATAGAGTTTTTTGGAAAAGAATAGTTTTCCAAAAACTGGTTGTCATAATTGTGGCCCACCCTGTGGATTTTCCCGTCGATGCCTAAATATCTTTTAATTTGGGAGTACCATTTAGTGCCCGTTTTACTTTTTGTGTTATTCTTTCTTTACTTTGCTCTCTTGACCATATTTTTGTCTTTAGAAATTAAGTTACTGAGGGATATCAAGATATTCGAATCGCTCAACTGCATTCTCTGCAAGGAACCGTGTAACTTTTAAATTGGCCAGCATTACCACATTTAAAGGTTTATAACATCAAACTTTTGTAGTTGTGCCGATTGCAAGACAGCCTCGATCTCCGCGACTTTTGCTTTGTGGATCAGCGATGTGTCATGAATGTTTCGAGAAGGAAAAGTCGTTGAAGCAAGAGGAGAGAGAACATAAATGCGATCTCACTGGATTGTGGTGCTTCTACAATCCTAACTTTGCTAACTGTGTGATTGGTAAGAATTTTTGATCTCTATTAGCCGATTACGAAGGCTGATTTCTTTCTTTTAGATGTGCTATCACAGGATTGCTTCACTCTTTCGCCGATTTTGGGCGGATATTTGCTTAAGAAGGTTAGCCTGTTATTGTTGGGTTTTTTTTCAAAAAAAAGTTTAGCCATTGGTCAATCCTGAATGCCCAATCTGTCACGATGAATGTAAGTTTTGATTATGATTATGATTGTGATTGTGAACTTCAATTATGATAATTTTGGCGAATTTTAGATTCGAACAAAGACGCTTCTAAGAAAGCTTTTGTTTTCGATTGCAATCACATTGTATGCACTGAATGTTATCAGAAAAGGTTGAAGCAAAATAACGATATCGCGACACGGGCTAGGTTGGCATACACAGTTGCTTGTCCGACTTGTAACGCAAACAGTCTGGCAACTGGAGAAAATCGTTGGAAAAATTGGTTGCAAGGTTTATCAACCAAATATTTTGTCAAATTTAATTATTTGTTTATCTAGATTTCTTGAACGAATTGCCTGAAATGACATGCCAATTAGAAGAAATGAATAAATCTGGATATCGTTTTTGTGATGAATGCAAGAAATTGGTCTGTATATTTTCATTGACCCAATGAAAAAGTTGTTTTAGGATATTGTTGACGAAATGCATCATTGTAATAAGTGCTCGTTGCAGGTTTGTGCTGTTTAATATACAATTTTTTTTCACGATTTGAGTTATGTGGAAACTGTATTTACAAGAATCATCGTTCACACAAGGCAATCACACTTCTACAAAAAGAGGTAAAAGCACAGTCAGCAGAGTTTTTGTTTTTAAAAAAATTCATATTTTTTTAGGCGAGTTTAATGTCTCACGAGCTTTGCGATCTTTCAATCAGTGAGGTTCAAACGTACAATTTGCTTTTTAGGCTAATCAAGTCTCAGACGAGTTTCGTGACGTTTCAATTCTCGTGATCAATACCTATGAGTTGTTGTTTCCGGATCTTCACAAGGAACTCCGTGGTGATATCGAAGGATTTAAACAGGTAAGGGACGGTTTTCAATACTATCTAGTTTAGTGGGAAGGTTCATTGATTTGGGAGAAGCTAAATTTTCTTTAGAAACTTTTGGACAAAGAGAGAGCCCTCAGAAATGTGCCAACTTTTGAGGATTTGAAGAAGAAACGAGATAAATGCACGTAAGGGTTTGGGGATATTTTTGAGCAAAAGTCCCAATTTAGAAAGCTGAAGACGGATTTCAAGATGTGCTCAGAGGAATACATACCACATCTACGGAAATATGACACAATAATCAAAGTGGGTTGAAATTTATACATACAATTTATAGAGTGATATCCCAATTTTGCATATAAATCAATTTAAGAATTCAATCTTAAACAATTGAAAGATTTTGTTGATTTTCATTTTACTTCTAGGAACTGATTCAAAGTCTCGACGATGTTGATGATGACGACGTTAAGGTGCTCTCCTCAAATCCGTTTCCTAGACCGTGTTCCCTTTCTCTTTCTACCATAATCTTCGCTCTATTTTCTTATCTAATCTACCTTAAATACTGTAATTGAAGGGCACCATAGAAGGGGATTCAATAGAATGATATCCCGATTTTGCACATAAAATAATTTAAGGATTCAATTTGAAACAATTGAAAGATTTTTTTTCTCGTTCTTTTAAATGCATATTTTTTACTTTTGCGTTGTTAACCTGTTATTAATTTTTAAATGTTCATTTTAACTGTTATTACTTTTGAAACATTGGTTAATAAAAATTTTCGAAATATTTTTTCAATGGTTTCGGTTGGTAACTGACCATGATAGTGAATCGAAAAAAATTCGAAATATTAGAAGTTGTTGAAGGAGGCAAGCGATCTCACCAATCCATCGACCTTTGAAGATTTAAGAAAGAAAAAGATAAAGTGCACGTAAGCAATCTTCAGTTTTTCTTTTTTTAATTTTTCTTTCTACAGAGAACTAAAGACGGATTTCGAGACGTCCTTAGAAGAATACATCCTCCACTTACCCAAATACGACAAAAGAGTCAAAGTGAGCTGAATTTGTTTTGCTAATTTTATTTTGGCGTTCGGAATTCATGAAAACTCTCATTGATGATCCAAATTATCAACAAAACACTTGAATTATCAGCAACCCACTCGAATTATCCTCAAACTTGGGTAGTTAAACCGATGTCTTAGGTCTCTGTCGCCCTTTGTGTAGCGGCCGTGTGCCAGATGCGGTTTTCTCTTGCGGGACACCCGAAGGGTCTTGCGCCTTTTCGGCCAGCAAGGATCTCGCGTTCTTTGGCTATTTCACTCGTCTTCCACCTGGCAACCGCTTACGACCATACCACGTTGAAAACACGGCATCCCGTCCGATCTGCGAAGTTAATAAACGTTGGGCTCGTTTAGTACTTGGATCGGAGACGGCTTGGGAATCCCGAGTGTCGTAAGCTTTTTGCTTTGTGTCGCTATAAAAATTGATGATTTGGGAAGGACGCAGACAACGAACAACATGTGTTTCGACTGAATTTCGCCATATAGTGGAAGGACCCTGTGATTCGGCACCACTGATTCACTGAAAGTGAATTAGTGGGGCTGGCGTCGGAAAAACCGTTCATTTTTTATCTTCGCGTTTGACGTGACTTTGGCAGCCAGCATTTCACTTGAATTATCAACAAAACACCTGAATTATCAGCAAACCAGCAGCCTTTGGGAGACAATGGTGCAAGACTTTTTTTTGCTGACTGTACCATTTGAAAGCTCTAATTCTAATTCTCAGCATCATTAATACATTAAAGATTTCTTGGCCAGGGCTAATTTTTGACCCTTACTGGCCATCGGAATGAGCTTGCCACAGGTACCCCACGGCGATCTGCCATTTTTCGTCACTGAATGTAAGGAGGGTTTCGAAAAGAATTAATTTTTTTCAGCTGACTAATCATTTTTTCAATTCTTTCGGTTCAAAATAAAGGCAAACGTTAACCGAGCATGTGCAAATTCATTGTAGTAACTCACAATGACGATCGCCTCCGACCCTCAACCGATCGAATGAAAGTTGCCATTTCCATCCATTCTCCTCGACAGATTTCATCCTTCTTTAGAATATTTTGTCGATTTCAAAATAAAACTCAATCAAAACAGTTCAAATTTAAGTCAAACTTCTTCCCATTTGCCTGTCTTCTTTCCATGGCGAGTATTCTGGTGGTATTCATTCGGTGCTGATGATTCTCGATAAAGCAAAAGTTGACAAAGCCGGCTATGTCTGGAATTTGAAAATAGGCAATACGAACTAAAATGAATAAAAAAAACAAATTTCTACCGTTTTTAACAAATAGTTATCAAAAAAGCAAAAGTGGTTGCTCCCTGAGAGGCTCGAACTCTCGACCTTCAGATTATGAGACTGACGCGCTGCCGACTGCGCCAAGGAAGCACGTTCTTTGTCAAGATATTAGGGAGTTAGGCTGTAAACAGGACTGTAAACAGATAAAGCAACGAAAAACTTAAAAGGGACGATTAGAAGGCTGAGGGGACCAAATGACATGAGCCACATACTATACGACGCAGAATTTTATTCAATTATTTTATTCGAGGATGCAATTCACCACTTGCCAATTGCGAATTCAAATTACAAAGTGTACGTTTTGATTGAATTCAACTTCCTTATTTCATTCTGTTCGTTCTCTTTCTTTTCCTTCAGCACGCCGGATGGTTGTCGTTTCCCTTCATTCAAATGCGCATTTCCCCGTATTCGCTCGCTGAGCATCGTACCCGGATTGGAGGCCATCAATCGACCAAGTACACAGTTAACACTCGAGGGAATCGAGTGTGAGATTTACAAGCAATATTTGCGTACTTGTGACTCCTAAGCAGGTTTTTGGTTGATCGGCTTCAGGATCTGTCCTGCCCTGTACAAAATTTAACAATGTGGATGGATGCGGAGATTGACATAAAATTTCAGAGTACATAATGAAATTAATCGTAACTTCTTAAAGCTTTAGATATCCAATCAAAACATTAAATCTATGTCGATTCTTCTTTCTTTTCCACTCTTTATGCTCCTCTCCGTTTTCCCATTTGTTTTTCTTTTGTTCATTTCCTTTTTTTCCACCACCTGTCCACTCAATAACACCGAGACCAAGGACCAATCCTTTTGTCTTTTCCATCATTGATCCCGCAATTGTGAGAGTGCCTTCTTTAATAATGAAAAGAAGAAATCTAAAAATGGTGGATAGAATAAATCTAATCTGGTAATCACTCTGACTGTAATAAAGTAAAGAAATGAATGGCAAAGAAATAAATGGAATTTGGAACAGAGGGGAATTGAACCCTTGAGTCTTCAATTAAACCAAAATTGTTGTATCAAATCAAAAGTTAGTGCAAAAGCGATTGAAAAAAATCGTTATATCGAGAGTCGACTTAAGGTATTTTGTTAAGCACTTGGCCGGGACCGCAAGTATAAGTCGAGTATTGAGCAAATCGTTATATCAAGTCGTTATATCAAGCAGCGTTATATCAAGCAAGTCGACTGTAGTTACAAAGAAGTTTTCGATGCTAAAATAGTCATTTACTCATTGTCGGCTATCCAATAGCTCGTATTTTTGGTTAAAAACGAAACTTTATTAAAATAGAGTTTGTAATTTTTGTAACAAAAAAATAGAGTAAAAGAAAATGCCAACAAGATGTTTCGGAACTTTTTAAAATGGCTTCTTGTACTCATCGAGGATTTGAATCAATTTCTGGAAGTAAAAAGAAATTTCTTTAATCCATAAATTTAACCCACCTTAACTCTTGTATCGTATTTGCGTAAGTGATTGCCGTAATGATTGCCTCATCTTCAGAAAATGATTCGAAATCCGTATTGAGCTTCCTGATGAGAAAAATTACAAAGAACCTATTCAAAGACCAACCTGCATCTTTTGTGTTCCATTTGCAATTCTTCAAAAGTATTAGCCTCCCGTAGTTTTTTCCTCTGCGAGTAACTTCTAAAAGCAAAAATTTGAACAATGATCGTAATGTTTCACCTCTTCAAACAACTTGATATCATCAATTAGTTCTTTGTGAAGATTAGGATATAATGTTTTGTAGGTTTTGATCTAATTGATTGAAAAATCATAAATCTCATCTGCCATATGGTTAGCCTAAAAATTCAATTTTATTACAAAAGCTTTTCAACTTTACCTCCTTTTGTAAAAGACTCATCGCTTTATGAGGCTAATTTTCCCCAATTGTACATGTGCCACACAAAGCTAAACTTTACTTATTGGTAAAGATGCACAAAAGCAAACCTTCAAATTAAAGCTCCTGCAGTAAAACATTTCGTTGACAGTATCCTAGAATATGTATTCTTTTTTATCCTTTTAAACGTCGCTAACTAATTTTCTCGCATTCATCACAAAAACGATATCCAGACTCATTCATTTCTTCCAATTGATGTGTCATTCCGAGCAATTCGTTGAGAAAATTTAAAAACCGTGTATTTATACGTGCAAAAGTATAAATGTTACATCCAAAATGGAACAAGCATCCGAAACTGCACGGAGTTTCTTTTCGTATTTATCTAAAATCAGTTTTTGTTCAATGGACAAGTACTATGTACTATGTACAGTATAATTGCTCCGTTTCGAACGTAACATAAACACTAAATACTATAATAAATACATTTTCAGGATTTTTGTACCGTGAAATTGATTATTCCATATATCAGCAAGTGATATTATATAAGTTAGGCATTAGGCAGCGAGTTGGGCAAGTGCTTATTCTCCTTCTGATTTAAACCCCGTGTCTTCTGGTAGCATTCCATGCATATCATCTGTTTGCAAGCAAGAACCAACGAGTTCTTCAGCTCGACCTGATTTACATCTAAAACTAACAAATCAATACCAAAAGCTCTTTAAAAATCACACTTTTCATGACAAATTACGCACTCAGGCTTTTACATAACTGAACAAAATTTTTCATAAAAATTCTAGCAACCAAACAACCTTTATGAGCAAATATCCACCCAAAATCGGAGAAAGCGACAAAGAATCTTGTGATAACACACCTAAACTAAAACTATGAAATCGTTTTGAAATACAGAACTTACCAATTAGAAAGTATGCAAAACCTGTGTAGGTAAAGCAGTCCTTTCTGCTGCATTGGTGTTTTCTCTTTTCTTTCTTCATCTGTTTCTCTTTCTCAAAGCATTTATGGCACATCGCTAAACCGCATAATAAATGTCGTGGAGATCGAGGCTGTCTTGCAATCCGCACAACTAAAGAAAACCTTAGAAATTTTTATATTCTTAACAAAAATCTAGGTAGCTGTTGCAGTAACCAAAGAACTTGAACTTTTAAAAGAAAAGCTGAGACTTACACGGTTTCTTGCAGAGGAAGCAGTTCAACGACTTGAATAGCCCTAATTTCTAAACAAACTGTCGTCCATACAAAAGATTTAGTTAATATTACAAAATTAATTTCAAAGGTATCAACTAAACCAGCTACAATCGATGCTAAATCATAAAACAAACAATTATAGCAACTTTCTTGACCTTATAACAAATTTGCAAAGTGTAAATATCGTATAACAAAATTAAATCATAACATAAAAATGAAAAAGGTTAGATGCAAAAGGGAATGTAAACAAGATATGGCTTAATTCGGATCATCATCAAGAGTTTTCATCAATTCCTAAGTTCAAAATAAAATTAGCAAAACAAATTCAACTCACTTTGACTCTTTTTTCGTATTTGCGTACGTGGGGCATGTATTCTTCGGAGCACTTCTCGAAATCCGTCTTCAGTTCTCTGTAGAAAAAAAAACTAGAAAAAAGAGAAAAACTGAAAGTTGCTTACGTGGACTTTTTATTTTTCTCCATTAAATCTTCAAAGGTCGACGCATTTGTGAGATCTCTTTTCTTTTCCAACAGCTTCTAAAGAAAAATTTAAATGAATTAACAAAACTGATCATTAGCAAAAATTACTTGATCAAATCCTTCAAGGCCATCAGACAATTCCTTGTGAAGCCCAGAAAATAATTGATGGTACGTTTGAACCTCACTGATTGAAAGATCGCAAAGCTCGTGAGACATTAAACTCGCCTAAAAAAAATATGATTTTTTAAAAACAAAAACTCTGCTGCCTGTGCTTTTACCTCTTTTTGCAGAAGTGTGATTGCCTTGTGTGAACGATGATTCTTGTAGATACAGTTACCACATAGCTCAAATTGTGAAAAAAAATTAGTATATTAACCAGCACAAACCTGCAACGAGCACTTCTTACAGTGATGCATTTCGTCAACAATATCCTAAAACAACTTTTTCATTGGGTCAATGAAAATATACAGACCAATTTCTTGCATTCATCACAAAAACGATATCCAGTTTTATTCATTTCTTCTAATTGGCATGTCATTTCAGGCAATTCGTCCAAGAAATCTAGATAAACAAATAATTAATTTGACAAAATATTTGGTTGATAAACCTTGCAACCAATTTTCCCGACGATCTTCATCTTCACTTGTCATAGTGATTGTGTTACAAGTCGGACAAGCAACTTTGTGCGTCCAAGTAGCCCGTGTCGCGATATCGTTATTTTGCTCCAACCTTTTCTGATGACATTCAGTGCATACAATGTGCATACAATACAAAAAAAAAGCCTCCTTAGAAGCGTCTTTGTTCGAATCTAAAATTCGCCAAAATTATCATAATTGAAGTTCACAACCACCTACAATCATAATCAAAACTTACATTCATCGTGGCAGATTGGGCATTCAGGATTGACCGATGGCTAAACTTTTTTTGAAAAAAAAACCAACAATAACAGGCTAACCTTCTTCAGCAAATATCCGCCCAACATCGGCGAAAGAGTGAAGCAATCCTGTGATAGCACATCTAAAAGAAAGAAATCAGCCTTCGGTTATTAGAGATCAAAAATTCTTACCAATCACACAGTAAGCAAAGTTGGGATTGTAGAAGCATCTTTCACCCCAATCGCATTTATGTTCCCTCTCCTCTTGCTTCAATGACTTTTCCTTTTCGAAACATTCATGACAAATCACCGATCCACAACCCAAAAGTCGTGGAGATCGAGGCTGTCTTGCAATCGGCACAACTAAAGAAAACCTTAGAAATTTTTATATTCTTAACAAAAACTGAGGTAGCTGTTGCAGTAACAAAAGAACTTGAATTTTTAAAGGAAAAGCTGAGACTTACACGGTTTCTTGCAGAGGATGCAGTTTAACGACTCGAATACCCTCATTTCTAAACAAAATGTCGTATACACAAAAAAATTAGTTAAGATTATAAAATCAATTTCAAAGGTATCAACTAAACCAGCCAGAACCGATGCTAGATCATAAAACAAACAATTATAGCAAATTTATTGATCCTACAACAAATTTGCAAAGTGTAAATATCATATACCAAAAGCACAAGCTAACAAAATTAGATCATAAGTTAAAAAGTAACAAGGTTAGATGCAAAAGGGAATGTTAACAAGATATGGCTTAATTTGGATCATCATTTCATCAATTCCTAAATTGATTTAAACCCCGTGTCTTCTGATAGGATTCCATGCCTCTCATGTGGTTGCAAGCAAGAACCAACGAGTTCTTCAGCTCGACCTGATTTGCATCTAAAACTAACAAATCAATACCAAAAGCTTTTTAAAACTTACACTTTCCATGACAATATATTTTTATATTCTTAACAAAAACCTAGGTAGCTGTTGCAGTGACAAAAGAACTTGAAATTTTAAAGGAAAAGCTGAGACTTACAGGGCTTCTTGCAGAGGATGCAGTTCAACGACTCGAATACCCTCATTTCTAAACAAACTGTCGTCCATACAAAAGATTTAGTTAATATTATAAAATCAATTTCAAAGGTATCAACTAAACCAGCTACAACTGATGCTAAATCGTAAAACAAACAATTATAGCAACTTTATTGACCTTATAACAACTTTGCAAAGTGTAAATATCATATACCGAAATCACAAGCTAACAAAATTAGATCATAACATATTAGGTCGTGGAGATCGAGGCTGTCTTGCAATCGGCACAACTACAAAAGTTTGATGTTATAAACCTTTAAATGCGGTAATGCTAGCCAATGAAAAACTTACACGGTTTCTCGCAGAGAATGCAGTTGAGCTATTTGAAATAGCAGAGAAATAGCAGACTCACAGAATTTAGAAATTAAAAGATATTTAGGCATCGACGGGAAAATCCATAGGGTGGTCCACAATTATGACAACCAGTTTTTGGAAAACTATTCTTTTCCAAAAAACTCTATTCAGAAAGTAGCAAGTATTATATACCATTTGAAAGCTAATTCTCAGCATCATTAATACATTAAAGATTTCCTGGCCAGAGCTAATTTTTGACCCCTTCGGAATGAGCTTGCCGTTTACCCCACGGCGATCTGCCATTTTTCGTGATTTGAATGTAAGGAGGGTTTCGAAAAGGATTGTTTTCAGCTGACTAATCTTTTTTTCAATTCTTTCGGTTCAAAATAAAGGCAAACGTGAACCGAGCATGTGCAATTTCATTGTTAAAACGGACTCAAAACTTGCTGCAAACTACCATTTTGCGACGAGTAGTGAAATTCGCGTTTTTCGGGATGTCTGGTTCTGCTGATTGAGGCACTTTTGGTTTGTTATTTTGGTTTTAGAGTATTGAATTAAATGAATTTTGATAAAATATGTACAAATTTGATCCTATTTCCTGTTTTTCTCGGTCAAATTTTGACTTAGAAAACCACGAAAAATGGCAGATGGCCGTGAGGTACCTGCGGTAAGCTCATTCCGAAGGCCAGGAAGGATCTTTTTCTGGCATAATTTAACCCACTCCCAATCGGTTAACGTTTGCCTTTATTTTGAACCGAAAGAATTGAAGAAATGATTAGTCAGCTGAAAACAATCCTTTTCGAAACCCTCCTTACATTCAAATCACGAAAAATAGCAGATCGCCGTGGGGTACACGGCAAGCTCATTCCGAAGGTCAGTAAGGGTCAAAAATTAGCTCTGGCCAGGAAATCTTTAATGTATTGATGATGCTGAGAATTAGAGCTCTCAAATGGTCTATAATACTTGCTACTTTCTGTATAGAGTTTTTTGGAAAAGAATAGTTTTCCAAAAACTGGTTGTCATAATTGTGGACCACCCTATGGATTTTCCCGTCGATGCCTAAATGTCTTTTAATTTCTAAATTCTGTGAGTCTGCTATTTCTCGACTTTTCTGAAGTTTTGAGAGTACCATTTAGTGCCCGCTTTACTTTTTGTATTATTCTTTCTTTACTTTGCTCTCTTGACCATATTTTTGTCTTTAGAAATGAAGTTACTGAGGGATATCAAGATATTCAAATTGCTCAACTGCATTCTCTGCGAGAAACCGTGTAAGTTTTTCATTGGCTAGCATTACGGCATTTAAAGGTTTATAACACCAAACTTTTGTATGTAACTTTTGTAGTTGTGCCGATTGCAAGACAGCCTCGATCTCCACGACTTTTGGGTTGTGGATCGGCGATGTGTCATGAATGTTTCGAGAAGGAAAAGTCGTTGAAGAAAGAGGAGAGGGAACATAAATGCGATTACGGTGGAAATTGCTTCTACAATCCCAACTTTGCTTACTGTGTGATTGGTAAGAATTTTTGATCTCTAATAACCGAAGGCTGATCTCTAATAACCGAAGGCTGATTTCTTTCTTTTAGATGTGCTATCACAGGATTGCTTCACTCTTTCGCCGATGTTGGGCGGATATTTGCTGAAGAAGGTTAGCCTGTTATTGTTGGTTTTTTTCTCAAAAAAAGTTTAGCCATCGGTCAATCCTGAATGCCCAATCTGCCACGATGAATGTAAGTTTTGATTATGATTGTAGGTGGTTGTGAACTTCAATTATGATAATTTTGGCGAATTTTAGATTCGAACAAAGACGCTTCTAAGAAAGCTTTTTTTTTGTATTGTATGCACATTGTATGCACTGAATGTTATCAGAAAAGGTCGAAGGAAAATAACGAGATCGCGACACGGGCTACTTGGACATACAGAGTTGCTTGTCCGACTTGCAACGCAACCACTCTGTCAAAGTGGAGAAAATCATCGGAAAAATTGGTTGCAAGGTTTATCAACCAAATATTTTGTCAAATTTAATTATTTGTTTATCTAGATTTCTTGAACGAATTGCCTGAAATGACATGCCAAGTAGAAGAAATGAATAAATCTGGATATCGTTTTTGTGATGAATGCAAGAAATTGGTCTGTATATTTTCATTGACCCAATGAAAAAGTTGTTTTAGGATATTGTTGACGAAATGCATCATTGTAACAAGTGCGTGTTGCAGGTTTGTGCTGGTTAATATACAATTTATTTGCACAATTTGAGCTATGTGGTAACTGTACCTACAAGAATCATCGTTCACACAAGGCAATCACACTTCTGCAAAAAGAGGTAAAAGCACAGTCAGCAGAGTTTTTGTTTTTAAAAAATTGATATTTTTTTTAGGCGGGTTTATTGTCTCACAAGCTTTGCGATCTTTCAATCACTGAGGTTCAAACGTACAATCAATTATTTTCTGGGCTTCACAAGGAATTGTCTGATGGCCTTCAAGGATTTGATCAAGTAATTTTTGCTAATGATCAGGTTTGTTAATCCATTTAAATTTTTCTTTAGAAGCTGTTGAAAAAGAAAAGAGATCTCACAAATGCGTCGACCTTTGAAGATTTAATGGAGAAACATAAAAAGTGCACGTAAGCAACTTTCAGTTTTTCTCTTTTTTCAATTTTTTTTTCTACAGAGAACTGACGAAGGATCTCGAGAAGTGCTCCGAAGAATACATGCCCCACGTACGCAAATACGAAAAAAGAGTCAAAGTGAGTTGAATTTGTTTTGCTAATTTTATTTTGAACTTAGGAATTGATGAAAACTCTCGATGATGATCCGAATTAAGCCATATCGTGTTTACATTCACGGTTACCATCCGATCCTTTTAGAGAGGTAAAATGTTGCAGAATTTAATTAAAAGACATAGAAAAATGGTCAGCACCACCAATGAGTGGACATGGTGAGAAAGCTGAAATTAAATGAGGGAAATCGGTTAAAACTAGGTCTAAAATATGCGAACTTTTTTCTTCCTGAAAGTGGGGAATTTGTTTAAAATTTCTAAACTGTTAGCTGACGGGAAATTTTCTAAATGTGGAAACGCGATAAATTAGGTAAATATATCAGCGAATATATCCTTTGTGAACACTCACAGAATTAGATAAAAAGATTGAATAAAAATAGAGACAGATTACGGTAGGGCACGGTTTGGAAAAAAAAGAGATAGACTTTTCTCCAATTTTCTTTTTTCCATTCAAATTCCTCTCTTGCTAATCCCAATGGGATTAACCCCAGGAACACAAAAAACTCACCTTCACACTTGAAATCGATTATATTTTAGAATTAGATATTTTTAAAGATTCTTTTGAGTCGAAAGGTCATCTTCTTCTTTCTTTTTTTATTTCTTTTCTGGATGGGTCATTCTCCTC